ACCGATTTTCGATCTGATTTCCCACCCATAGTTTGCATTGTGAATCGTGAACACTCAATTGCAATGTTTACTTTATGGGTAGGTTGGGATAAGACGACCTATTTTGTACAATCAGTTGCAAATTTTGAAGAGAAGAATTTATTTAAATATTCAAATGACAATATTGCCCTTCGAATAGATTTTGCCCATATATTTCACCTAAAAGAAAAGGAACAAATAAAGATAATCCATATAAACCTTTTCCAAAACTTGTGGGGTTTGAGTGTAATTACGCCAAACCACAGAGGGTCTAAATGAAATTATTCTGCAAAATTACACATTGAGATTGGGAGAGAAATTTAATTTGTTTTTTTGGGCCAAGAGGAGAATAACTATAAAACATTACTTACCAAAAACAAATATAGCTAATAATTTAATAAACATGTAGCTCAGCGGAAAAGGAAAACAGTCGCAGTAAAAAAAAGTTTGACTTACTAATCTGGTTCTGAGATTTCAGACTTTGAGTGTTGAGAGCTTTCAGACAAGCAGCGCTATGGAAGCCAGCAGCGAGCAGCAGGTACCACTGCATTTTCAATTTTTATTTCCATTTCTCTTTTATTTATTTATTTATGTATGAATGAATTTATTGGTTTCTAATTTTGGTGAAGAAGAAGTCGGAAAATTCATCATCGTCTTCTTCTTCAAAGCTCTTGCTCTACTCCTACTGGCAGAGCTCCTGCTCTTGGCGCGTCCGCTTCGCTCTAAGTCTTAAAGGTTTTATTTTGCTTTTATGAATGACTTTTAGTTTGTTTCTGTCAAGTTTTTTATTTAAATTAAAAATCATGATTAATTTCACTCAAGTTTAGGGAAATTTGTTTTTGTTGGTCTGAAATATTAATTGAATTGAATTTACTTGTTTTTGGTTTTGTTCATTTGTTGTTAATTGAATGTATAGGACTTCCGTATGAGTACAAACCAGTGAACATAACAAAAGGAGAGCAGTTCAGTCCAGGTGGGTTTGAAGCGATGTTATGCTTATTACAAGCCATTCATGTTCTATATATTGAAATAAAAACAGGGCAAATAGTCTATTGCAAAATAGTCTGGCACGTTATGTTGCTAGACGGTTAATTTGAATATTTTGATTTGGTGGATGCTTATTCAACATGCAGTAATGATTCACAATTTGACAACATAATATATCTTGCCTATATTTCCAACATTTGATAAGCTAACCCTTGTTTTTATCTGTGAGTTGCAGACTTTAAGCGTTTGAATCCTCTTCATTTTGTTCCGGTGTTGGTCGATGGTGACATAGTGGTTTCAGACTCCTACGCAATATTACTGGTTAGTGTAATTTGTTGGAAACTGAATTATTTAATTCATGTGATCTGCAGCCAGGTAACCATAGACCTGAAGGCCTTTCATTAGTTTCTACTTCATATTTGACCATCATTGTATAGTTTGTGAAGGTTTTATTTACGTCTCTTTTGTTTTGTTATCTGAGTACAATCTCTTCTTGTGATTCTCAATTAGTATCTGGAGGACAAGTATCCACAGAGACCGTTGTTGCCTGCTGACCCTCGGCTAAAAGCTCTTAATCTCCAGGTAAGTTGGTCCTAAATGTGAAGTCCTTATCAAATTTAAAGAATTTGGTATTAAAAAGTTTCTCAACTAAAAATTGACTAGCAAACAAGTCTCTCATGGGGTCAAAAGCCCCTATCTTTTTTCAAAAATTTATGGTTTGCATGTCCTTTTTTGTTTTCTTCAATTAAAGCATGTCGCAGGCTGATGTAAATCGCTTTTTTTGTTCTGGTAATGAGAAAGGTGAAGCCTCTGTTGAAGTTAAGATTGAATTCTTCATGGACTTAGTTTTCTTTGCTGAGTTGCCAATTAGTGAATATTGTCACAGGCTGCAAGCATTATCAACTCTAATATACAGCCTCTTCACATGGTGTCGTTGCTGGTATATTCTGTTTCTTTGTACTGCATATATAAAATGAAATTTGGTTTTACATTCGTACCTATGTAATCATCCTTGATTTTGTATTTACATATACTCTATTATCATTTGTTTGTGTAGAAACATCTTGAGGAAAAGGTTGGTCCTGAAGAGTCACTATCATTTGCTCAGTTGAATATAGAAAAAGGCTTACTTGGTGAGTTATTATCTGCATGTACATGTTCATTCCTTTAATTATAAATTCTCTGCATGTACTGCTAATTAGGAGAAGCTTTCACCATGAAGTGGAGTTTGGTCATATGTCGTAGCTTTGTTGTGTAACGTATTCTAATTTCTAAATGTGCTTCTCTACTGGTTTTGCATGAGAAGGATTATACTCATTGTTTATTTGAAGTTTTCTTACACATGCATAACAAAAGTGCACACTAATACAGAAGTGAGGGAAATGAAGAGATAGTTCCAATTTTATGTCATCTGCGCTGTGCATGCTTTCAGATGAAGTCACCTGCATATTATAGCTACCTTGATGATCTTAGAGTAAGGTAAGATTTAATAGTAAGGATGCCAGTGCACCTCTTTTATATCAGGCCATGCAGTTTTTGGATCTGGATAGATAAGAAGTTTGATTTTAGCAGCAATGATCAATTTGAAGCCCCATTTGATAATAGTCGTCCTAGGCAATGGGAATTACTTCTTTCATGTCATTACAAAACCACATCCTTATGATTCCTAAACTTCTGTAATCTCTAGCACTGATTTATGATAGCAACTGCTATCAACAGCCACTTGCAGATTGACAATTCACCTATTATTATGTCTTCTATGTGCAAGTATGACTGCAAATTATTGAGAGAGATCAAATGAACAAATAATTTGCCATGCAAAATCACTCGATGATTGACTTATTAGTTGCAGCTTGTGTGGGAGAGCAGACCAGAGTGCATTTATGTCTGGTAGTGTTAAATAACTCTGTTTTTTCGCTTGTATTAAAGCTTTTATATATAAAAGTACATGTATATTAACATGCATGATGTGAAACTACTCGAGAGTGCTACTAGTTGATGCTTACATTTTCTCTTTGTTTATTTCTCATCTGTAGCTCTTGAGATGTTGCTGAAGGATTTTGCTAGCAGATATGCCACAGGAGATGAAGTGTATATGGTCTCTCTTCTGAATGCTCTGTGATTCTTTGTTACATTTCTTTAACTGCAATCCTATCTTAATTCCTTTTATTTAAACCAATGTGAACTGACAACAATTTTTCTAACCCAACATATTGGCGGATGACATAAATGGTGACAAAAAGTATCTCCATGATTCTTGGATGTCTATGTGCATGAGCTTTTTTTTAATTGAAGTTTTAGAAGCAATAGAAGATTTTTTTTTTCCCGCCGCTTGAGCTGTTTCTGACTAATTAAAGGGTTTTAATTGCAGGCCGATGTGTTCTTAGCTCCACAGATTGTTGTATCTACTACAAGGTTTAACATTAACATGGTAAACTCTTGCCCTCTTCTGTGTTCTTTGCATTGGTTGTTAACTTTATTTTGTTCGCTGTTTATCTGTGTGTTCTGTGAAAAATATTATCAAACAACTTTAGGGGCAACTCTTAACTGTTTCTATAGTTATTCCCCCCTCCCTTCCTCTAAAAGACTGGTCCGGTTATATGTGAATGTCTTAATTATGCAGAAAAACAGGGTTAGGTATTGATTTTTCTCATATAATTTTCTTTGGTATCTGCTGGCATTTTACTTATTTGGGTCCTTATATATTTGCTACCAAGTTCTGCCTCACACAAGTAAATGACAATACGGCATGAACTAAGGAAACAGAATACAGACGCAAGGTGACTTTGGTTTTTACTTTTTTTGCTTTATTTTTTGTGCAGTCCAAATTCCCCACTTTAAGTAGGCTGTATGAATCCTACAAGATTTTACCGGAGTTGGAAGCTTCGTCACCAGAAAGGCAACCCGATGCTGTGCATTAAGTCTGGAATTTTTCCGCCATATTCCTCAAAGCAGTTTTGTATTTGGCACCATCTCTCTACTGGAATAAGAGTGAGCACATGTAAATAAGATCAAATTTGAAAACGTTGGTCACTGGTGTAACAATGTGTCCAGTTCCAGTTCTTTGTAAGAGAAACATCACTCGAATTCTATGGGTGATGTAATGTATTGGTATTGAATAAAAATCATGTAGCCAAACAATTTCTATTTCCAAAATCAAACATGTAATCACAGATGATCTTTGGTATCTAAATCCGGTAACTTAGTCAGGTACAAGAACAAGTCTGGATACCGAGTTCAATTACTTCATTATTATATTTAATAAGACAAAGTGCACAAAATACAAGTCTTGAAGCCTAACTATATATAACATGCAAAATGTTGATAATCTGTCTCTAAATCCTGCACTGCAGCTTGTCACCCTTGCAAAGAGGGTTTTGCTTGGCCAAAACATCTCTTCCAGCCTTCTTGAGATCCAAATTGCATGAGTGTGTTTCTGGATACCTATGCTTTCCGCAAAACACTCCACCACAACGGCATTCAAACCCCAACACTCCAACTTTTCTGTTGCAGCTTTCACACCTGTTTTTCTTTGATCCACTATTATTATCAATATTACTAGTATTAGTATTAGAAACTGAATCATCTGAAGTTTGAAAAGAAAGCAAGGAAATTCCTCTAGCGATGGAACCCAGATCAGTTTTTTCCTCTGATGAAGCCACTGTGGTCGACCGAGCATTGAGATTCTCTTGTTTTACATGATCTTTGTAGCACTTTGAGCACATGTTCTTGTTTTCGACACATCCATAAAAGCCACAGCCCTTTGCGCACATTGGAGGCTCCATGTTCATGTTGACTTTCTTCTCGATCTTTTGTTCCGTTCTCGTTCGTCTTTTTGGTCGAGAGGCTTGTTCTTCTTCTTCTTGTTGTTATAAGAATTGTGGGTTTCTATTTGTTTATATAGGGGCAGGGTGGCGGTGGTAGATTGAGGTAGTTTACCATTTGGATTAGTATTCCTGTTTCCGATAGGAAAGAGTATCCTCCCCTCACTCGATAATATTAGTCTTTCTAGAGGCTTCTTTTCTGCTATCTTTATATTCTAGAAGCTTCCAATTTGAACAATTTCTTTCTTTCTCTTTAAGCAATGTTTTTTGTTTTCCTTCTTTTATTTTCCTTCGTTGCATATTATACGCTAACATTGTATTCAGGCAATATTATCCTTTTTTAAAATTAAAAAAAAGCAATATTATTATAAAAAATGATTTGAAATCTAATACCTTAGGCAAGTCTTAGGTTTCTTGTCTCTACTAGAAAATTTCAATATGAGCCAATGTTCCCTCTGTGACCAGTATTAGCAAATGTTATAGTTTCATCGTGATTAAAATGGGTTGGTCAAAATAAGACGCAGATAATAATAACGATGCAACCCCAAATCCAATAAAGTATGTACTTTCCATTATAACTTCGATTAAAATTACAAGTACATAAAAAAAAAATTCAGAACCTTCAACATAGAATAATCTTCATATGAACTCTCGAAATAGTACTAGTCAAATTCCAAAAAGGAATTACTTTTAAAACAAGACATGTTATGATAGCATTAGGCCAGTAATGACATACCCTAAACATCATTTACTTTGTAATCAGCATTTACATATGCAAAGTGCTCGAGTTTGCCAACTATTACGTACACTTGGGAGTACTCTGTAATTTGTAAACTACAAAAACCTACAAAAATTAACAATGGATGAATTTTTAGGTTTAGCCAGTCCCTAAATAAACTTGGATTGGATGATCATGCATGATCTTTAATATCTAAATCCGCGAACTTAGCTCAGTAAAACAAGTCTGGATACCACGCTTAATTACTATGATTAGTACCATCTTAAGAGCATCTACAAGCAAGCTCCTTATTTTTTAGTTAAATTTTAGCTAAAAACATATAAAAGTTATTTTAGGAGCTCTCTATAAAATTTAAACTCCAATCATGCTCTCTAGTTTAGGGAGTCATAAATACTATAACTCTTTTGTAATTGGACCATTTCTATTAAAAAAATAATATAAAAAATAGTCAGCATTAATTAAAGATTTGAAATACTCATTAAATAAAGCAGTATTAAATTATAGGGAGCCACTAGGAGTCCTTCTCTCCTCAGATTTAAGAGCTCCTAGAGGTCTCCTTATTTTAGGAGGTGGATAGAGAGCATGGTTGGAGTTGTATTTTTTCAATTCCTCCCTAAAATTTATCTAATGAGGTTGTTTAGATAGCCTATTATGGATGCTTTAATTGATCATCTGTTGTATTAATCTTTCTCTAACAAAGGTAACAGCACACAAGTGAAGTGAGTATGTGATGTGATCAAGGACGGATCTACAGTTGCGCTAGAGGCTCCAGCCCAATCCTGATTTAGTAAATAGGCTTAAAGGTGCAGGCTAACTTAGGAATTTTAGAAACCAGCCTACCCCTCTATAAATAAGTCAGCCTATCACTCTAATATAAAAGAACGCTACCCACTTAGCCATCTTTAACTCCACACACAAGGAGTGGATAAGGAATCCACTAAGCCCAAAAAAAAACCAAAAAAAATAATAGAACAAAAGCCTCCAACCATCTAACCAAACAAAAAACAAGACTCCAATTAGGAAGCAATCCAAGCCAAATCCATAAATTAAAAAATAATAATAATTATAAAAAAAAGCCTAAAAGTCTAAAAGCACGAAAGAACCAAAGAAGAAGTGACTCTCTTCCTATCCAAAATTGTGTCAATGTATCTTCGGTGGTTCTTCAATCTTAGTAAGTTTCTTTCTTTATTTTTATTTAATTTTCAATTTTAATTGTTATTGTTAAGTTTTTATAATTTAAGGTTGTTTGTTAAATTTTAAATTGTGCTACGTGCGTAAAATTGTTTTAGAACAATTATAAGTTGCGCTACGCATGTGATGGGGAAAGTCTCTCATACACGCGTGATGGGAAAAAAGTCTCCCGCAATTGCAGTAGAGATGCCAGTTACTTTAAGAAAAACAAATTAGCCCACCCCTAATAAAATTTTTGAATCCGTCCTTTTATGTGATCAACTGAATAATCGTAGCAAAGCCCATTGATGGCTTTGTTGTTGGAACGGAAGTGCAGTGGGTGAATATTGTTTGAAAGAAAGGGATCAAAAATCAAACTAAAGATTACTGATGGAAATTCTCATAGCATTCATTCGATGCCTTTAGACTTCACCACCACATCCACAACCACAATTGATGCAGCCACTACAATTTATTGGCATCAAGATGCATCTAGACTCCTCGTTATCTCATAGCTAGGAATACCACAAGACACGAAACTCATACAATGTTTTAGATAACTCTACAACTTCTAGAGACTTATTATTAATTACAAATTATATTTTAAAATTTGTAAACGGTTGAACTTTTAGACCTTCCAGAAACACTCCCAAACAGGCTCCAAACTCAGTCTCTTTCTGTAGCCGTTCAGCTTCTTTCTTAGCATAATCAGCAACCTTCTCCTCAAGAGAAGCACATTTATCCTCAAGTGCCCGAATCCTATTTCGTGCTTCTTCATCAACAGAAACAACCCGTGATACGAAAAGCTTCCTAATATCCTCCAACTTGCATTTCTTTTTGCATTGAGGACACTGCCCGGAACTTCTATGCTGTAGCCATTTTGTTATGCAAGACATGCCGTATACATGTCCACAGGGAAGGCAACTGATGTGATGATCGCCGTCATTGGTCCAAGCGTCCAAGCAGATAGAGCAAAATAAGCCATCGATTTCACTCCGATTCCATTCACTGCCTTGAGAGCCTTCTGCGCTGCCAGTTCCAACCCACGACGACGTTTTGGGTTCTCCAATTCTTCTCCGCTTCTCTCCACCTTCCTCTGCCACACCTCTTGATTCTGTTTGAGCAGCAATTCCGGCAGTGTTGTGATTAGAACTCGAGGCTAATAGTTGTGCAAGGTACTTAGCAAAATCTGAATCTTGGTCCTGTTGAAGTTCCTCGTTTTCGCTAATTTCGATGTTTGAAGGGTTAGGGTTTGCCATGAGTGAGTTACGAAAATTTGAATGCGTCCAAAAAGAAATGTTAAAGATATTTTAATTAGAAGCTAGGGGTTTCATCAGAAGCCCAACTTTAGGGGTTTTCATTAGAAGCCCAATTGTTCAGAGATTAAAACAATAAAAACCCTCAACTTAGTGCCCATGCAGGGGTGAAGATATTTATAAAGACAAAAAAATTGAAGTTTTTGTTTGGAGTCGATGTAGGACTGCTGCAACTACCCACGACTAGGTCTCTTCTCTGGCCTAATGAGTCCTAGTTGTTTGGTAATTTCGTTGGAGACCTGTTCACTCTTCGATGAACCTCTTCATCGTCGTCTCTGGTAATGGTGGTAGTGGACATGCAGCATGCTCTGGCTCAGGCTGCAAATCTCCAATTCCTGTTAGATGTCTCCATTGTTATTGTAAACGGGTATTTTCTCCTCAATCTTTTCTGGGTCTTCTTGCTTGATTTTCTTCTCAAAGACTAGTGCTTTTGAGGACACTTATGTCTGTCACTGTTGAAGAGGGACATGGTTCCTCTTCTGGGATACAGTTGAGAAGTCTTTCTTTGGGATGATCTTGGACATGGTTTCAAAGTTTAGAACTTTTGATTTGGTGGAAAGATTTGATGGGTAGAAAGAGAAGAGAATTGCTTATGCTTCTTGATTTGGGGAGGAGAGAGATTGAAGAATTGCAAAGATTCGGATGAAGAGAATTGCTTCTGCTTCTTGATTTGGCTGTTTCTTCTTAAACTGAGGGATGGATTGTTCTTCGTGTTCCTCTTCTGGGATACAGTTGAGAAGTTTCTTCTGGGATTTAAGTGCCGAGCTGCTGTTCCACTTTTATTGATTCAGGTAACTTCTCCAATTATTAAGCACCTTCCTTTGTGTATTTATGCTATTTTTCTTATGCTTCTTGAAGCCAAGTCAGATTGATTATGATGCAGGTATTGGATATGTTTGAGTTGGCCTGTACTCTAGTCTTTTTCCGTTACTTGAACTTGATTTTCTGTGGACATATTTTAGAAAATGATGTTATTTGAATTATAGAAAGAGCAAGTTTTTTTTGTTGTTTTTGTTTTTGTTTTTTATTGAAACAAAATAAAAACAAACAATAGGAACTGCCCATGCATTCACCAACACTTGTTGTGGATTGATCCCATGATCTCACCCTTCAACCTTATTTCAAAAGGGAGAAGGTGCATCTTTTCACCAAATGTAACAAAGCAAATTAAGGGGTTGTTTCTTCTAGTTCTGTTTTATCAATGGAAAGTGGTACAAAGAAAACGCTCTAGTAATGTGTGGTATATAGACATGTTTTAAATTCCATCTTTCTAATATTTAATTGTTATCATATCAATACTGTTTCCTGAGGTTTGTATGTTTTCATTAAAATTGGCAGTCGGTGATGGAGATCTGCGCCATGTATCGATAGGTGGGGCCTGTGTTGCTTCAGTCGTGTTGAGCAGGTGAGATAGGACCACGCAATTTGAAGAGTTAGCGCAATGTCTTCTACATGTTTTTTAGTTTAGCTTCTTTATTTTTTCACCTACCTTGATATCCCTGAAGATAAATTTGTGATGTGGAACAGGTTTTTAGGTGCGATTAAGCAATACTTATGTCTGTCACTGTTGAAGAACAGTGCTTCAACTCTTATGATAGTTTTTCAACTATCTTGCTCCATCTTCATTAGTCTGGTGTCAAGATTTAGAGCTAGATTGAAAGCAGAGATTGGAGTATATATATACTTTTTTTCCTATGATTGTTCTAAGAGTTTTGGAAAATGTTGCGCAACACAATTTTCAGCAGAAGAAGTTAGTGCTTCAGTTCTTGAGAAGCTCTTCTGTGTTAATTCCCAGATCTTGGTAGATATATTCATCAATTATTGTGACTGTGATGTTAATTCATCAAACATATTTGAGAGGTATCCCCGAAATACAATACTTAAAATTTCAAAAGCATTGAACACTGATAATAATATCCAGTTTCATCCATCGAGTTCAATAGCATAGCAGTTGTCCTGCATTGTTTCCACACCCTCATAGCATTGTGAATTACTTGGTCTTATGTTAACAGTTGTTGCGTTTGCCTTGTCCTTTTCCTTTTGTCCTGATATTGTCAGGATGGTAAATGGCCTTCTTAAAACTGCCCATGGTGTCCCTCCTGGTGTTGCCACATTCCACCACATTATTACCGCCTCAGTTGGCAACCATGAAACTTGAAGCTGTGAAGAGCTTGGTTGGTGTTTTGAGGTCAATCGGAGAGTGAGAATATATAGTCTTGAACCAGGAGGTCTTCCCATGGCAAATGGCCTTTTGACTGCTGATAAGCATTGCATTGGCCGAACTGTGGATGATGTGCGTTTCCAGATTGAATCCACTGCGGTTATTGGAAGACAGTGCAAGAGATACTACGAAGCATCCATTGGCATTTTTGACAGATCTAACTCTAAGGTTGTGTATTGTTCTTCTTAGAGATTTTTCAGCTTCATATTCAAACTATCACATATTTGATTGAATTGAGACTTTTGCAGCAGAAATGGGACATATCTCAACTGGAAGAAGTTGACAAAAGGTGGCCCTGAAGCTGGAGTACGTCATGGAGACTATTATATCACCTGCCCCTCCTCAGCATGGTAATACTAGTGTCCCAACTAATAATCTTGTACTCGAAGCAGCAATTAAGTATTAATAATCGAAATGCTGAGACCAAGAACTTGTTGTTTTGTTTATAAGCTTTTTAAAGTAGATTTGGGAGGAGTTATTACTAAGCATGGTAATACTACTGTCCCAACTAACCATCTTGTTTGGCAGAAAGTTATTGACCCTTTTCATCTGCCATATTACATCATATGTGCTAATCCCGCTCTCATATTGGAGTCAATTTTAGATGCTGAGTACATGTGGTGTTCCTTCAATTGTTGAAAATCACAACTTGGTTAAACCATATCTTTCGAGGGGTTGTGGCAACCATGATAACTTTTTTACTCAGGTCATGATAGATTTGTAGAGATTTGATCAAAACAAATGTTCCTAAGTTGATCAGAAATTGGTAAAGCTATGTCAAATTCTACTTGTGAAGATAAAAATCCCTTCAGCTAGGCTCTGGAGGTGATCAACTTCTGGAGAACCTGAAATCTAGAAAATTTCTCTGGAGCTGGCAGTGAACCAACACCGTTGCGGCCGGACATTTAAAGTTGCCTTGTGGGGTTTAAGGTTCCTTTTTCTTGAAATTTTCATAACGAGAAAAAATTTGAAAGAGAATTGGAGAAATAAGACGCATGAAATGGAGTTTTGAAAAATCCAAACAGGTGAGAATTTATGGAACAAACCGCACTTTTTTCCGTCTTCTCACCTACCTATTATCGAGTTGGGTTGCCTGCCGTTTTTGGCGTTCTTTTTTTTGAATAATATTGCTTTATCTGATTCTGATGTGTTTGGTTTTGTGCATACTACTGCACTGGGAATAGAATGGACCTCTTGCTGAGATCAGGCTCAATCGAGTGACTATAGATCAAATTAAATGAAAGAAAGAATCAATTAAATAATTAGGATGATATCAATTGTCAAATATTATACACCACCCAAGTACATAGACTTAACCAAATTAACATTCTTCATCTTACAACCAAAAGAAGAAAAGAGAAAAAACAAAATGAATCAGCAGCCAGCAGCATGGGATTCACGCTCACACACAAGCCAAAGTCTCCATATATCGACATTCTCCACCCCAAACTGTCATAGAGTGGGGGTTGGAAGTTAACTCGAAAGATTGGAAGGTCTTGTTCTTGAGATTATAAGAGATGACCTTACCAGGAGTATGCAGCAAGAGAGATGAACATTCCTCTCCTCCACCTCCATTTTCATTGAGATCTGGAGCAAGAAACAGAAGAACAGTTCTTTTTTCCCATTGTAGCAGGTCAGGAATGGGAATGGGAGGATCATGGACAAGATCAACATGGTACTTGACAAACCAGCCAGAGTAGTTTCTTCCCATCTCCAGCACATCAAATTGAGTCTGACAACGCCAATAAACACGAGCAAGATGCAAATGACCGCCAGGAGTTTCGAAAAAATATGTATCCTCACCTTCGTCACACTTATAGGGTTCATAAAAAGGAGGGCTATCAACCCATCCAACGCGCTCTTCATCCATGTGATAGTATGACAACTGTGCATCCCAACCACTCCAGTGAATTACGCCATTGCAGTACACCGGCGTAATATAGTCTACATGTTGTTTATGGAAAGTAGAATCGAGAAGCCTCCAACTTCGAGTCTCAGACTGTTGTGCGGAAGCGTCAACCAATTGTGAGTGAAAAATAAACAACAACTAGCAGGAGATAAATGGAACACAAAACAACACCAACAAGAACACCAAGATTTATACTGGTTCGGCAATGCCTACATCCAGTTTGGAGACGACGGAGTAATTCACTATATTCAAAGAGAGTATACAAAGTGTTTATCACTCAAGAAAACCCAAAGCCCCAAATACACCCAAGTCTCACTCTCACAACAATTGAAGAGAAAACAATGATACAAAGCAAAGAACAATTAGAGAGAAATGTTTCTCTCTTTGGCAAGATGCCTTTCTTGCTATTTTTCCTCTTCTACTCAACACTTGGTGAGATGCTTCAAATGGAACCATTTGCTTCCAATTTATAGCCAAAAATGCAAGAGTGTGAATGCAAGCTTCAACTATTCATTTGTTGGCTACCAAACTTACCAATGGATGGCTACCAAACAATCCACCCTTTTTGACCTCATAGTAAGCCAACATTTACTCACATGGGCAACTAACTTTGACTCACATGGGCAACTCCAAAATTCTT